AGGTTTCACTGCACCGGTATGCTGCATAACATGTACGCATACATGAACACACACACACCTATATGCATTTCACAGTCTTTTGAACGATCCAAATATTATATAATTCTTTGGATGTTAAGTGCATTGGCAGCCTAGGAAGGTCAAAATATGAACTGTAGAAACAAGGGGTCTTGATGTGTAAATGATGGGCCCAGAGTTTGGGATCTGAGCCAGGTCGGCTCTAAGAGGTTCCGTGTGACAAGAACAAAGTTTCTGATCCCAGCAGGATCAGAAACACCTACAGATAAGGTGGATGAGAAAAAGTGTGCTGACTTCCTTCTGCAAAAAAACGTGGACATTTTGGAAGAATTTCGAGTGGTACCAGTTAAACATCTTTAATGAGAATACTAACTTAAATGGCCTGGGGAAAGGGTGAGGAGATAGAGGAAAGAGACTAAAACACGTGCACACTTTCTATAGTATGTGTACTTTTTATGACCAGAAAAATATCACATAAACGACATGGAAATATTCTAAGAGAAACAGTACGTTCCCGCTCCACGATTCAAGACCCCAATGCCTGTGGTCCCCTAGTTTCCTCCTTCACTGTGTGGGGACAGAGCTTCTCACTGGGAACCTTGTCCTCATGCCCTTCCCTGTCTCACAGACCTCTGTTTTCTTAGCCCTTTGTCCCCATCTCCACCGCAACGCCTATCAGATCACATTACCGACCGTTATTTACCAACTGCGGAGTTGGAGGCGAGCAATGTGCTAGCTAGATACCATTACATAGATTCCCTGTTTTTAACCATTAAATCGCCCTCTTTTACAAATGTTACTATCCCTATTTTACAGACAAGAAATCGAAACATAAAGATTAACTAACCTGCCCCCAAATTAAACAGCTGACATAACACATGGGTCACCCAACTCCCCTTACTCCAAAGCACACGCTCATTCCACCAGGGTAGTAGGCTATGTGTTAATGTCTAGGCAGGCAATCTGAAGGGCTCCATTAAGGATGTGCTGGACAGAATTAAAGGAGGGGTCCTACACTGTCTGCTTCCGATGAAGAAAAAGATGCAGAAAAGAAACCGCCACACGTGGAGTATCAGTAGGTGCAAGCCAAGGACAGTTTGCGGTAAACTGCCACCCCGGAAGAGAGCACCCACCATCCTCGTCTCCCGGAGTTTGGGTGGCCCCTGGCACTGTTACTTCTGCAGAAAAGTAATGGATTGAACCCCTACAGAGGCAGCGCCCTCCTCCCCGAATCCTCTGAAGTTGTCTCCAGTCACCTAAAGAGACGTCGTTACGGCCCAACTCATTTGTACTGTAAATTGCTGAGCGAAGGGCTGTTTCTTCCGCATCCCTTTCAAGTTCCCTCGGCAGGGACTACAATAAATCATCACATTATGATGCTGAAAGTTCATCTCTAAAAAGCTTTCAATTTAGTTTGATGAGACAATGGCGTACAACGGCACAGTGTCGGGCACATAACGGAAAGTCCAAAAATATAATTATTATTGGAATAAAAATTCACGCTGAGCGCAGTGGCTCACGCCTGTAATCCGAGCACTTTGGAAGGCCGAGTGGGGCGGATCATTTAAGACCAGAAGTTCGAGACCAGCCTGGGCAACATGGCGAAACCCCGTCTCTACTAAAAATACAAAAATTAGTCGGTGCGGTGGTGGACACCTGTCGTCCCAGCTACAGAGAGCCAAGATCGCACCACTGCACTGCAACCTGGGAGACAGAGCGAGACCCTGTCTCAAAAAAGAAAAAAACGTCAGCCAAGACTTGGAAAAGTTAATTTAAAAAAGGAAAATTCATGCAGCCAGTAACTATTGGACACCACTCACCAGACACTATGCTAAACTGGGGTTAGAGCAAAACCAGGCCCCTCTCTAGATGGCTCTGTAGGTCCCACGACCATGGCTTAGGTGACACGGGCAGTTGCGCGCTTCACAGGCTGTCGAAAAACACTCGGGAAACAAATATTGAGAGGAAAAGACTCCTTCTGTGGGCCTTTAGGAAAACCGAGTGACTTTTCTCGCGAGGGGCACCCACGTGTGTAAGCATTCGCAGAAACGGCAGCTGTATTACCGCCGGGAAGGGTCCCCGGAGTGCGTGCCCCGTCTGAGTTCCGAGCTGCGCGGGCCATGCCTCGCCAACCCCGCTGCTCGCAGCATCTGCAGGCGCCGGGGTAGGCACCGCTGCCTGACCCGGGCTTCCCGGCTCTGGGGAAACCGAGGTCGCTTTCCCCCGCTCTCTGCAGCGGGGCAGCGTTGTCCGCTCACTCCCCCCTCCCCGGACGCCCTCGCCCTCTTTCCCCCAGGTAGGGAACGGTCTACGCGGGTCATAGCAGAGAGACCACGCTGCCCGTGGTGACGGCCGGTCCCGGGGAGGGGGCGCCGCCACCGCCATCCCGCCGCCCGCGCTCCCCACACCCCGCCGCAGGCGCAGCGGACTGGTGGAGTGATGTCGGGAGATCGATCGAGAAGAATCTGGAAGAATCCGGTTAGACAGGGAAGCGGGCGGGGATGGGAGGGAGGGAGGAAGGGCCAGGGGAGGCCGCTGGGGAGATCCCCAGAG